GGAAATTCAAATCCCGGGCTTCATTTGCAAGTGCGGCATGCCTACATTACCCCGCTAGTTCGAACTAGCGGGGTAGTGTAGACATACCCTAAGATACTTGAAAACTGCTATCAGGTCCCCTCTCGGTTTTCTCCATTCCAAACTAAACAAGCCCAATTCTTTCAGTCTCCCCTCATAGCTTATGTTCTCTAGACCTTTAATCATTCTTGTTGCTCTTCTCTGGACTTTCTCCTTTTTCTCCACATCTTTCTTGAAATGTGGTGCCCAGAACTGGACACAATACTCCATTGAGATCTAATCAGCGCAGAGTAGAGTGGAAGAATGACTTCTCGTGTCTCGCTCACAACACTCCTGTTAATGCGTCCCAGAATAATGTTTGATTTTATTGCAGCAATGTCACACTGTTGATTCGTATTTAACTTGATGTCCACTATGACCCCTAAATCCTTTTCTGCAGAACTCTTTCCTAGACAGTCATTCCCCCTTCTGTACGTGTGAAACTGATTGTTCCTTCCTAAGTGGAGCACTTTGCATTTGTCCTTATTAAGTTCATCCTATTTACCTCAGACCATTTCTCCAGTTTGTCCAGATCATTTTGAATTATGACCCTATCCTCCAAAGGAGTTGCAACCCCTCTCAGGCTGTGTCTAGACTACATACCTTTTTTCAAAAAAGGGATGTAAATTAGACACTTTGAAATTGCAAATGAAGCCAGGATTTAAATTTCCCATGCTTCATTTGCATAATGGCGGTCGTGGTTTTTTTCGACAAGGGGCTTTTCGATAGAAAAATGGCAGTTTAGATGGGGATCTTTCAAAAATAAAACCCTTTTTTAAAAGATCCTGTAAATCTCTTTTTTTTTGAGGAATACACGATCCTTTTTTTGTTTTGTTTTGTTTTGTTTTGTTAGAACTTCTCTGGGTCTTTCTATCCTGCTTCCATAACATGATCATTTGAAGGGATTTTTTTAAGGTATTGGACGGGCATCTAGGAGATGAGAAGTCAATATGGCCTGTGGGTGTTTTAAAACTTCTCTGTGCCTCATTTCCTCAATTGTACAATGGATGGATAATAATCCTGCCTTTCTGCCATATTCTGTCAGTTTTGTCTAATTAAATGAAATGGGTGCTAGCTCTTACTATGCTTTTTCTAAAAGATACACTTTAGGAATTCATTCAGGGCAGTTCCACAGTCTGTATCAGTGTTTCTCAA